CGCTGCTGAAGGTGATTGATGGCGGGAGTGGAAACATTGCTAGCGTTTTCAGAGATAAACGGTTTGATTGTTTGCTAAATCAATCGTCGTGAATTGGGTTTTGTTTAGATTAGATGATGATTATGTAGATATCGTTGTTTTACGAGCTTAATGTTACATAGGAAATGATTGAATTAACAGTTTCACGCAATGCTTTTGCATTCATTTTTGGTCTGAGAATTCTTATTCATTTTTGCCAATCCATTTTTCTTTTTGCAACAAATTTCAAGATTGTGATAAGGGAGAGAGAGAAGAAATGGGCCTCGAGTTTTATATGTTGGAAACTTGAATTTTCAACCAAATTCTATCGTAATTTTGGAAGCAAGCAAAGAAGCAAGATCATCAATAAAGAATTTCTTAGGAGAATTTGGAAAATCACAAAAGAAAGAGAAATTTTATAAAATTGACAAAATTGCCCTTATTTATTTTTGGATTTTTTAAGGAATCTTTTATATTTGCATATTTTGATTTAAAAGTTAAGAGGTTTTTCTGTCTTTTTTGAAAAAGTTTTGGCTTTTTCCAAAGGTGAATTTTTTTTTTTTGCTAAAACCTAAATTTACTGAATTTCTTTTGATGATTCTAATTGTTATGATTGGCGCTAATTGAGGATTCTCATGCACATTAAAAAGAAATTAACAGGGGCTTGTATAACTCAAGTAGTTAAGAGCATTTATCATATGTTTGAAGTCCTAGATTAGAATTCCCCTCCCCACTTACGCCTAAAATGCAATTTTCTTCTTCTGCATATTAAAATGTGAATATTCAATCCAAAACAAAGTGACAAGTGAGAAATGCCTAATATCTTTAAAGCACTATTGGAAGGTTTTCATCTTCTATGTAGGATACTCTCAACATATTATGAGTTCTTTGGGGATTAATATATAGATATTCAGATCAATAAGTTAAGGATTGGTTACATATTTCTAATTTCGGCTGTTGGATTGCATTCATTAGATGTGCTGGTAGATTTAGTATGCAACATATTTGTAATCGAATGACCGAAATTGAGATATTTAGTTATATACCCATTTTTAGCACTAGTGATATAGATAAACCCTACACCATTTAATTTCTATAAACAAACCAAAAAAAAAAAAACTCAAAAAATGACAGCTGACCCTATTGAATTTAATTTTGATTATTAAATTACTTTGATGCCCTATAGAAGGTTTTAGGCTTTTTTTAATGAGGTTTTGAGATTGGATCTGTTTTAAGAATCGATGGCAGTTTTGTAATTTATAGGAATTTCAAAGTTTCTTTGTTATGTTGTAAATGGGTTTTGAGTGTGTTTCTAAAGTTAGAATTTTTTATTTATTATTATTTGGGCACATATATTGGGTATAATAGTGAATCTCCCTTAAAAATATATAACCAATCCTTAATATAAAATACTTATAAAAGAGAATATCCATATAGATATTACCTTGAGATGGGTTTGGTGTTTTTGAGTAAATTGTAGTATTGTAATAAGGGGGCCTCTCATTGAAGACCCAAAAACATTTAAAGAAATGCTTCAAGGGGAAGTGGGCTGCACTTCAAATTAGGGTCATGCATGAAGTCGATGCCATTGAGGATAGGCTTTTTTTTTACCCTCATGTTCATGATTTATATGCATTGACTTCAGGACAGAGGTTTTCATTAACATAAATTTATAAGCTGTCAAGGTTGGTGAAAGTTATAGATTGAATTAGTGTATTTCAACTTCAATTCTGGTCTAATTAATTCGTATTTCCTTGGACTAAGTTATGTAAAACGTTTAAATATTGCAACTGCATCATGTTCACGACAGAAACAAGCATTTTAAAATCACTTTTGTATAGCACTTTGGTGAGAAGCGTCTTCTAGCTTCTTAAATGACGCCAGAGAAGAGTTTATCTCGTTGACAAAAAAAGCAGTTCACGTGTGAAATGAGGGCAAAGAAAAGTTTATGCCCAAATAAACTAAAATGACGGAAAATGGATGCTAAAAATCTTATCAAATGTAAGATTAATTCAAAATTGTACAAATACAATGCACTAAGAGGAATCTCAAGCATTAGTCCATCCTCGTCATCAACACAGTCACTTCGTTGACCATGATGATCGACCCATTAATTGTTATTTCTTGTAGGAAAAAAAGTAGAAGGGGTGGGCGGGAGGTGGGCAATTTATAGGAATAAAATCTTTTCAGGTTGCTTTCTAGGAGGACCAACAAGATGGTCAAACATTTAATTGATTTTAAAGAAAATGTTTTTTTTTACTAATTATCAAACTTTTAAAAATGCTGCTTTGTTTGTGTATCAAATTCGTTTTTTAAATGCAAATGATTTATAGCTTAAGTGGTTAAAAGCATTTACTCATGCATTTGAAGTTCTAGTTTTGATTTTCCTCTCTTCCAATATTGTTTATGTTGGTGTGACATATGACTTTCCTTGCACACCAAGAATTCCCATATTAATTGTAATTGATTTCCCTTTGATTTCTGATTTCCTATTATAAATAAAATTAGGAGTTATTACTTTTCTTCACTTTCAAGGTTTTATTGTATTATAAATATGACCTCTTATGAGGAGAAAAATATACAAAAAAATTACCACAAATAATATTATCTCATAGTTTCTCATATTTTAGCATGGTATAAAGCGGCGATCTTGTGATTTTTGCTAAACCTTAGCCAAACACAAGCCGACGCTGCCATGGGGGATCATGATGTGATCATCCCCATGGAGGTAGCACCACTGATTCCTTTACCACCCATACTAAGAAATTAGAAGAATTGAAGACCCAGATGACCCAATTTTTGAAGATCCAAAATCAGACCCTTAACCGAGAACCTTGAATAATTTAGACCCAGATACTAACCAAGACTCAAATCCTAACCCAGACTCAAATCCTGACCCTTATCCTAACTCAGATCCAAACCCAAATATCAACCCAGACTATACCATATGAATTTTTCAATGCACATGTTACGACTTCTTGCATAGAGCCCAGACAAATGGAATAGATTGCACATATTGTTCCACCTAGATATACCACTTCTACTCAGATTGGAACAATATGCAAGTTGAGAAATGCTTTGTACGGATTGAAACAGTCACCTCGTGAATGGTTTGAACGGTTCACCATGGCAATGAAGAACAATGGTTTTCGGCATAATAACTCATATCATACTTTGTGATTATTACTTGGAATGATGAACATGAAATATCTTAGTTACAAGACTATTTGGCTACTGAATTTGATATGAAGAATCTAGGTGGACTGAACTATTTCTTGGGGATTGAGGTGACTTGATCAAAGTAAGGCATATCTCTCTCTCAAAGGAAATGTCTTGGACTTGTTGATAGACACTGGAATGTTAGATTGCAAATCTGCAGACATTCCTATTATTCAAAATCATCATCTTGGAGAATAGCCGGATCAAGTTCCATCTAACAAAGAAAGATACTAAAAGCTAGTAGGAAGACAAAACTATTTGTCACATACTTGACCAGATATTACTTATTTTGTGAGCGTAATTAGTCAGTTTATGCATTCTCCAAGTGAAGACCACATGAATGCAATTCTTCAAATACTTAGATATTTGAAGTCTGCACTCGGAAAAAGACTTATGTTCTCAAAACATGATCATCTAAAAATTGATGGTTATATAGATGAAGATTGGGCAGGTAGTGTAATAGATAGAAGATCCATATTTGGTTACTTCACATTCGTGAGAGGTAATTTGGTGACATGGAGGAGCAAGAAACATAAGGTAGTAGTTTTAACTAGTGCAGAAGCCGAGTTCAGAGGTATGACTAAAGGAGTTTGTGAGCTCATTTGGTTAAGGAAGTTGCTTATTGAACTTGGGTATGAACCTACATCCATAATAAACCTCTTTTGTGACAACAAAGCTACAATAGTCATTGCACAAAATCCAGTTCAACATGATCGCAACAAACATGTTAAGGTGGATCAACACTTCATCTTACAGAAGTTTGAGGCTAAAGTGATTGAGCTCCCTTTCGTGGAGTTCGAGGATCAATTAGCAAATATTTTGACAAAGGCGGTTTCCAGTAAAGCATTCTATACATCACTAGATAAGTTGGGCATTGTCGACATCTATGCACCAACTTGAGGGGGTGTGATGGTGTGACTTGTGACTTTCCTTGCACACCAAGGATTCCCATATTAATTGTAATTGATTTCCTTTTTATTTCTGATTTCCTACCGTAAATAGAATTAAGAATTATTACTTTCCTTGGCCTTCAAGATTTTATTGTACTATAAATATGGCCTCTTATAAGGAAAAGAAAACACACACAAATTTCACAAACAATATTATCTCATAGTTTCTCATATTTTAGCAGTTTATATATCAACTAACCAACCAAAAAAACAAACCATTTATATTTTAAAAAGAAAAAAAAATACAGACTGTTGGCAAGGTGTATTTGATACGGCATGGGCAAAAATTGTGTTGTTTTTCATACCTATAAAACTCATGTCTTACTTGAAAATCCTAGTTTATCCAGAGTTGCTTGGAACTGGATTCGACGGATAGCAAACAAAGCGTCCAATGCTCTTCGGATTTGTTCTTGAAAATTGGGATTATAATAAGTCATTGGAGGTCTAAGTCCAGGGTCTGTAGGAAGATTAGCCAATATTTCATCCAACTCAGTGACCACCGACTGTTTTGGACTATTCGAATTATTCAAGGGAGGATGTGAATTAGCCGGATTATTTGAAGGAGGATTTGAACTAGCCGGATTATGTGAAGGAGGGTTGGAACTAGCCAGATTATTTGAAGGAGGATTTGAACTACCAGGATTATTTGAAGGAGGATTTAAACTCTTTCTCTTAAAGTACCGTTTCATAACTGTATAACTAAAACAAAATAAGGGTTTTCTATCTATAACTATGACTAATTGAGTATAGTTTATCAATTAAATAAACAAATAAACAATAATTATACCCCGAATCGTGTGTCACACAGCCTCTTCCTCCTCGAATTTGTTACTGATCTTACTAATAGAGAAAGAGTTAAATAAGAAAAAAATTATTAAAAAAAATAAATAAACAAAATTGGCGTTTGCTCAAGAAGAAAAAAAATATGCATCCAACTTACTTTGGATTAGTGTACTCAAGAAGGAAAAAAAAAAAAAGTAAAAAAACCGTAGGATTCTTGTGATGCACACACACTTTGATAAAATTGGGTGATATTAAATTTGTCCATTATAAAGAGAATTCTCAATCCCACTTAATAAGGAATTGTGCAAGCCTTATTAAAGCCCAATTAAATAAAAAGAACTCCCAATCCTATTCAAATAAGGAATTATATAGGCTCTATTAAAAGCCCACGAAATGGCAGCAGTTTACTTTTTTTTTCCTTTTTTTTTTGGTTTGTTTCAAAGCTTGGTCCAAAACGACGTCGTTTTGGCCAGAATTTTTTTAAAAAAATAAAGGAAGCGAACTGTAATTATAAAGTTTTATAGCATTATATTTCAACTGATATTACAGCAAATGTTTAAGAGTTATTACAGATCCGTATGTGACTCTACCCCTGTGACGTAGTTGTTGGTTCTATATTTCTTCCCTTTTGTTGTACTTTCAGTTTCTTCACCAATGTCGTATTTGGTCTTTCCTGGTTAGACTAGACTTTTCCCTCTGTTGTATGCTCTTGGGGTTCTCCCTGTTTAATGGAGTTGCACTTTTAGGAAAAAACAAAAACAAAAAGAGTGCATAAGCATATGTTTCTATGGCACTGTGGTGGCAGTGAGTGGCTTGTTGACTGATAATTACAACGCGCTATTATTAGCTCAGTGCCCGAGCACACTGGAATTGTAGTCAACATGACACTGAATTAGTGGGGCACTCGTATTTGAAACGAAAGCGGTTCTACACATTAAATCGATAAGTTCCCAATTTTTCTATCAGGTATAGATTAATCACAGTCCAATACAACGCATTTCCTGTACGAATTTGCTGGCATTGAAGATGCACCCCAACGCCTTCATCTTTTGTAGCCCTCTTTCCTTGAGGCTGTTAGGTGGCTGTCAAAACCAAACTATGGATGTAGCAGACGGTACGATCTTAGACAAAGTCCATGTTATATAGTCAAGAGGTAGTTGTTGGTAGGTAGGGAGTTGAAGCATCACATATATATGATCAAGGCAGAGACGAAATGCTTATACATAAAATTTTGGAAGCTCACTGGTGACAACCCTAGGGATAGAGCTTTGATTCATCAATGCAAAATTCAGAAGTCTTTGGCCAATTGGTCAATTTTAACTGGCATATAAGAGGTGTTGTGGAAGCAGCTTAACTGCAGCTTGATTTAGCCAACGGTCCATAATTTAGTTGGCTCAAGTTCGAACCCTAATAACACCTCTCCTGCCCTTCAAAACTTTGACCAAAAAAAAAACAGCAGCCTGATATAGACGCTGACTGCTTGAACATTTTAATTTTGACCCTGAAGATATAATGCTTTTGAAAAGTCTGCTGGAGGTTGATGTTATTTGGCTCCCCAACTAATCATAATTTCATCATTAAAAACTATATGACAAAAAAGATTTATCAGATTTTTAGTTATTTTAGCAATTGGGTCTGAAATACCTTGTGGAAATGTCTAGATTGAGGAGGGTCAAAAGAAAAGATTCATTCCCACCCTTCAGCTTAAGACCTGCAGCTTTATCTAACATTACTTTTCCAAAGGCCAAAGCCACAGGCCTAAGAACAATCCGTGATTCGTAAGTCTAGTAGTTAAGAACATTTACCGTTATACTAAGGTTCCGAGTAAAATCTCCCAAACTGTTTTCGTTTTTACAACTATCATTGTCACAGTGTGTACTAAACAAAGTCCATTTAGGTGATGCTTAAGTGCTTTTCACCAATCAAATCCAATCGCCGAAAGCTTATATGCTTTAGGAACTGAATGTGAATCGGTACCATCCGTGGTTTCAATGTTAAGCTGTCTATTAAAATTGGACCAGAAGCCATACTGTTAGTTGACTGGTTAGGTTCTTTTTAGCTGGAGCCACAATCTTCTGCTAGAATGCTTCTCCTTTTAGAGGTGCTTGGTCAAGTTGTTGGCTTTCGTGTCTGCATTTTCAGAGCACATGGCTTTTGGCTTTTGCATTAAGTGGATTTTTCAAAAAGAAGTGGTGGATCCAGTATATGAGAAGAAAGGATTGGGCTAATGGGAAGATTCCACATATCATCAGTTACCTTCAAGAGGGGGAGAATGATTCTCATGGATGGTTCAGATTATTAGATTAAATTATGGGTTTTCAACAATGATGTTCACAAATAAGCCTAATGATTTTAGGGTTCAAGGCCATGAGGAAATTTTTACTTCAAAATTTTACTATAGTGACTTATGTTCTACTTTGAAAAGTGACTTTTTGTTAGTGAGTATATGACTGACTCTTTAAAGGTGACTATTTTCTTTTTCTGCTTTTATTTTTGCAGCTTTTGGGTTTTTCCTCCTTTTCACTTGTATTATGTGGTTCGGTTTGGTTAATAAATGAAATTCGGCTACCTCAATTATAAAAAAACAACTAATCAGTGGTAAAGTTCTATAGTTTTTACATAATTAAGTTCAAAAGATAATGAGCCAATGTTGCACGGCATTTCTAACAAGTGGAGAGGAGCTCTCTAGTTTGGTAGTTGTTCTATAGAAAATGATTAATGCTACACGCACTAGTTCTTTTAATTTTTTCACATAGAATACACCATATATAGATTATTGATTTTATAATCTCACATCATGTAAGAAAGTTGTAATAAGAGTGGGGATAATGTTATTATAGAGACAACTTATTCCATATGACTCAACAAAAAACAATCAACAATTAGTGGCGAAGCCAGAATTTCATGTGTCTGGGGGCCTCTCACAAAATCTAAATAATAAAACCATCAACACGATAATGATGGGCTGAGCTTTACATTTTGGTCTCCCTCCACTGGAAAAAATATCATCCATTTTAGGAATTTCAATATGATACTTACCACAAAAGAAAAAACTTGATCAAGTGAAGAATTCCAACCATTATCTCTCATACTTTGCAAACAATGTGTTTGCTACCCTGTTTTGGAAGTGTTCTTACCAACGGTTATGGAGGCACCAAGTGAGTTCTTCGTGGTGCCTACTTCATCATTTTTAAAAGGGGTAGTTCCAATTCAATTAATGGGAGGAGAATATTTATTGAGACTTATAGTGCTATGCAACCATTTGACAGGGACAGAAAAAATAAAAATGATGCTAAATATATTGGAATTATGTGGATTGCAAAACAGAAAGATTATGTAAGACAAATATCTGACATAGGTAACCTAAAGAAAATCCCATTAGATCCGGGCAGGTTATTCTCCACTTAACTTTTTCTAACACATTTTCTGTTCTGTTAATCTCAAATCCATCCAAAAAAAGAGCTTCCTAATCGACTTCTAAGATTAGGGACTAGGCGTACATTCCCAAAGTTTTTTCGATGTTGTATTTAGGTTAGTCTGAATTTGAGAAGATCACTGAAATCCGGGAACCCTTTCGTAAACTCCAAGCTTTGTAAAGACTAAGCTAAAAGGTTCTTAATCATTGCTTCGTCAATTTTGTTCCATGCTGACCCAACTTTGGTATCATATTATCATTAATTAATCTAATCTTTGTCAGCAACATTGTCCTAATAAGTCTACTGAAATCCAAATTACTTTGTCCAAAGTCTACTCGAATTCAATCAGACTATCGGTCTACTCAATCACTTGAAAGTTCACCACTTTCTCCTCTTCTTTCATTATTATTATTATTTTTTTAAAATCTTTTTTTCTTTCTCCACAATGATGTAGGCTTCTCACTTTCGGTTATTTTGGTTCTATTTGTTTCACTTTTCTTCAAAAAGAAACTTAAGAAAGGGGGAGAAAAGTGGTATCAGATTGATCAGTGCCCAATGGTACCCCAAAGCTATTTCCTTTTGGTCATGTTTGGGATCTCCATTCAGTCATTGAAATGGAGACGTCTACTTGGTAATTGGTACATCTTCGCTGTGTCGATTATGATCTGCAATCTTAAATTTAACATAAAAAGTTGGCCATTTCTATATTATTTTGTTGTTGTCTCTTCTGTTTATGAGCTAGTTTATTGTCCAAAATTGTTAAGAGCCGTTGGATAGAGCGAAATCGGCTCGTGAAGGAAAAATGGTCAAGAGCTAATATGAGTAATATTGATAACGTACAAATAGTATTTGTGAGATAGCACCGATCAAAAGCTGGAATAGCTCAGTTGGTTAGAGCGTGTGGCTGTTAACCACAAGGTCGGAGGTTCAAGCCCTCCTTCTAGCGCAACAAGTGTCAGTTTTTTTAATCTTTACACGTTCCGAGATACAATAAGATGTTTCCTTCTTTTTTTAAAATTTTTATTTATTTATAGAAGATGTTTGTAATTATAAATATTTGTATGAAATTCGTTCCAGCTTAAAATCGTATGAAGAAGACATCTGCCAATATGAACACCGCTCTTGAACCAATGGGTGTTATTTAGATTGGCTCAGATTTTTGGTGTGCTTTCAAGTGGTCTTGGGTTCAAATCATCATAGTACTCGTGTATGTGAGTGTTTTCCACTTCCTAAGGCTGACAATGAGTCGTGTCGTGTCAGTATCATATACGTGTCAAGAATACTCAATCTAAACACGACCCGTTTAATAAACGTATCGTGTTGGATTGACTAGTTAATTTTCCGTGCAGGATTTCGAGTCGGGTATTAGGTTGAGTCGCTAAGTGGTAGCAACTAAAATTACTAAAAACAATTAGAAAAATTAAGAATAAACAAAGAAACAGGTTAGCGGGTTGACGGGTTACACGAGTATTTTAACGGGTTGGCGGGTTGACTCGTTTAATAAAAGGATTACATAGTTATTTTAGCGGATTGGCGAGTCGACTAGAAACTCACATGTTTATTAAACGGATCATGACAGGTTGGCCCAAAAATGACCCAAAAATTTAATCGTGTGGGTTGACCTGCTAATTTTCCTCACGGGTTTTGAGTCGTGAACCAGACAACAACAAAAAAATGAATGGTTCAGATCATGGAATAAACTAAAAGAACTATATGATTGTTTTCACCCATTCCACACTATCATCTCATGATCCGAACAATTTATTTTTAGGTCATTATACAAAATTCACTCCTGCAGCCAATAAAAAAAATAAAAAAAATCCTAAATTAGACAACATTTAGTCATCTAACTTCAGTCAAATAAATAGACGACTCACAATACTATTCATAAACAATGAAAATATTCACGACAGTAATCAAATAGTTCAACGATTTACGAATCGATTATTATTAACTAAATATTCACGATAATAATTAAAAGGTTTTTTTTAGGTGATAATTAAAAGGTTAAAATTACATAAACTTCAATTGTATTTTGAAAAAAAATAATTTGTTTTAATCCAACCATGGTGGTCACCCACCATGAAACTTTGTTCTTTCAACTTGATTTACTTCTTCAATATTTTCTTATGCATAGTACTACTAAAGGCACATTTGCTATGTGCTTGGTATTGTACTTTTGAGTATGATGATCAAAAGTATCTCGATCCCTTTTTTGAGTACGCGAAAGTAGGCCCAAAGTGTCTCGAAGAAGAAGTAAGTCCTAGGAACTATTTGGTTCCTATGGCTCTTGGGTCTCTTAGGTGGCTTTTGAGATGCTTGAAGGTGATTTGGCCGCTGCAAGTGCTTTCCGATCAATGATTCCCGCCGCTCTTCAAAATGATCGGGTGGCTCTTGAAATGCTTACAGCCACTCCTTAATTGAAAACAACAATGATGATCTTGAAGAACAATAGAAGATTGTAATGTGAGACATAGCTAGAGAGTGTGTGGCGAGTCAACATTATACCAACGGTGGATGATTCCCAAAAATCTTATCTGAGTGATGTTGCTGATGATGTTACTTATCTAATTATATTATAATTAATATCGTACAAGTATAAACTCTGTTGAAGAATATGAGTCGCACATCAAAAATTTGACTAAATAAAATACAAAATATAATGAATGGTTCTACTACTAATAATACGAGGTTTTTTGTGATAAAACCCCGCACTTACTGGGCATTGTAGGTGGTTAAGTTGGGGACAATATCGATGTTGTTAGTAATAGTCTGCTCGTCCATCTCTTTGAATTTAACAAACTCGTCGATGACATTATAACATGTGATAATATTACGATTACAAACAAAACATTTCCACTCGAATTAGTTTGAAGAGGTTTCAAATTAAATTTTTTGTAGCAGAATAAAAAAAACCGCTTTTGAGCAATCTTTCTTTAATTATAAAATCAACTAACAAATGAAGTTTCATGCCTAGATGTGCCAGTGGCACCACCAACAATGAGCAGGCGGAATCAGTAGTTGGTGCCAATTGGATGAAGGTGGTTGGTTATATTACAAGCCGTTGCTCGCTAAAAAGGCCTTACAACTTACTCTCTCATCTCAAGTGGTGATGAATCCACCAAAAGTTCTCAAAAGGGCATAAAGTAAAGCTAACAAAAAAAGGGAGGACCCAAAAGGGAAGCTAAGTTTGAATGGCGATATAGCATATTGGATGGTGGTGGTGGAGGAGATGGAGAGATGAAGAGAGATGGTGATGGTGGTGAATTGGTGATTGGGATGGAGAGTGGGTGACAGACCCACGTGACTGACCCACCACCACCACTAATAGGAAGAAAACCTCTCCCTCTCTCTCACCTCTCTCTCTCTCTCTCTCTAATATGAAGAAGGAATAGGAGGAGGAGGGCCAGTGGATGTCTTGGTTGGCTTCATATCAACGCTAACAGCCAAAATAACCCAACCACAGCAATAAAACCAATATACCCACAATCACATAACACCACCACCCCAAAAAGTGAAAAAGAAAAGTTAACAGGTTCACATCATTAACTCATTTGACAAAAGTGATCCCATTTTCCTTGGTTGCCTTGCCCACTAACATTAAGCCTGCCTTTCCCTTCTCCTTTCTCCTCCCCCTCATGCTATAGTCAGCAGCTAGTGGGTACT